GTCCGCCGGCATCCTGTGACCTCCCTGAAGACAGAGTCGGGGTGGGGGTGGGGTCAATAGAGGCACCCCAATCAGCAGATGGTCACCCCCAAGGCTTACACGATGCGGGGTGCAGTAATCCCCCCAGGCCTGCAGAAGAGGGGATGCGTGTTCAGACAGGGCCACCCAGCCTGTGTCCACGGCCCAGCTGGGGACGGTCGGCCCTGCCGGGTCCCCGACTCTCAGCGTGGCTGGGAGGGTGAGGCCGGCTGGCGGGTCAGCTGCCATCAGGCTCCAATGGGAATTTGCACGAGGCCTTGGGAAAGTGTCTGACACTTGCAGCTTGCTTTCTATTTTTTTGGCTTTTTAGTAAAATGGAGATGATGGAGGGGTGGTGTGAGATAAATAACCACCTTCCCAGACCCTTCTAGTCCCTACATTATTACTTCATTTTCCGTTGGAGCTCACGGCTGGCTGTCCTCTTTAACACGGAAGTCAGAGGGCAATTTTCTGCCAGGCGGAGGGCGTGGATCATTTCCTTCCAATAATGCTGTACTTACAGGGAGGAGCCCTCCACACTCTGCCAACATCTGCTTCAGGAAGCTTTTACTGTAAGCAGCTGGGTGTGGCCACCCGCCTTGGGCCAGTGGGTACAGCCCAGACTCTGCAGAGCCGGTCTGCCGACGACGCTAAGGTCCCAGCTCCCGCTCACTAGCTCAGGACCCTGGGAATCTACGTAACCTCCGGTGCCTCAGTTTCCCCATCTGTCAGATGAGAAAAACAATGCTCCTTGAAGGGAGTGATAGTGGCATCCAGTGAGTAGAGGCCAGGGGTGCTGTCTTTTTAATATTTTTTATATTTATAAATAAATATATAAAAATTTATGGGGCATCAGCCACCTACGCAAGATGCTATACGCACAGGATGCCCCACAACGTTAGCAAAGTACGTCTAGAACGTCGGCAGTGCGGAGGCTGAGATACCCGCCTGATGGAAGGACGGGACAGGTGTGCAGTCAGTGTCGGCCACTATGAGATCCGACCTCGGGGTCAGATGTCCTGAATTCTCAATTCTATTTCTGGCACGTCTGGGAGCAGCTGGGCACCTGGACTCAAGTTTCTTTCCCTCTCTGAACATCAGGGGCTCCTCTCCCCTGGGGTCTGGCTGCCCTGCCCGCTGCCGGGGAGAGGAACCATCTATAGGAAAGAGGAGACCCCTTGGGCCTCTGTCAAGGATCCCACTGCCACATGGTCCCCTAAGAGCCACTGGGCACTCTGTTCTCGCACAGTGTGAGCATCATCCCCTCTATGGGCTTGTGATCAGGTCCTCTGAGACTTTGCCAGAACTCCCAGGTGAGGGCCTCTCTCTTGTGTAGAGGCTGCTAAGCTGCAAGGTCGTGTGTCTCAGCGTCATTTTGCCAACAGTTGGGGATGACCTGTGCGGGAAATACACCTGATACAGAGGAAAGCAAAGCCACGAGATGGAGAAAGATGAAGATCCTGGACATCCCATTTGTCTCTGGATCCAGCTGTGTCCAAACGAGTCGGAGTCCTGGGCTGTTCTTGACATAAGCCAAGAAATCCCCTTTTATTTTTAAGCCGGTTTTTGAGTTGGGTTTTTTCACCCGTCACTGGCTAATACAGAAATCCCACCTGCCCTAGAATCTTTCTTTCCTCCAACTGTATTTTTCTAGAACGTTGATTTTTTTCCCTTTGCCAGGTCATGAGCCTCTGGAGGGTCGGCTTGTAATGGAATTCCCTCTGGCTGCCGTGGGCGGGCTGTCTGGAAGAGCTTCCTGGGACGATGGGCATGTTCTGTGTCTGGTGCTCTGTGACACGGCAGCCAGCAGCCCCCGGCAGCCGTGGACGACCGAGGAATGGAATTTTAAATTTGATTTACTTTTAATTAATAATTTAAATGGCCCTCTGTGGCTTGGGGCTGCCGTATTGGACAGCACCGTTGTACAGCATCTTGCACAGGTGGTTGGTGCTCCATAAATGGTTATATATTTATTTCTTTTCCTCTCTGCTCATTTGTCTAACATACAAGGGGTGGGTGCTGGACGCCGTAGTGGGGGGTGTAGTGCCGTCACGGGCCCTATGGGTCCCACACAAATGACCCTGCTGTGAAGTGGAGATGCAGAATGTTTCCGAGGAGCCCCAGCTTATGTTTTCGGGAAGTTCAGTGGCGACGCGCCGTGATCCAGAGAGAGGTAGGGGGGCGGGGGGTGCTGGTCAAGGGGAACTCGTCACAGCAGGTAAGTGCTTCCCTCTGCGCTCTGCTGGGCAGTGGACCCACATCTGAGTGGCCCCGGAGAGGGAGGGCTGGGCGGAACGGGGACGTGCAGAGGCTCGCGCCCCAGCTGTGCCACCGTGGGAGTGGTCCTTCACTGCCTGCGTCTGCTGTCCTGTTGGTGAGATGGAGTTCGCGACGGCACCCGCCTCTGAGGGTGGCTTTAGGACTAAATGAGATGCTTGTGCAAAGCCCTCAGTGTGCCGTCCGTGGTCAGAACAAACACAAACAGAGTCTCAGCTGCTGGTGGTTGTGAGAACTTGGCCTCCTCCCCTGGGGGCCTGGTGAAGCCGAGCGCCCCTCAGAGAGACCCAGGCCTCCCTCAGCCCTGCCCTGGGCTCCACCCCTCCATCGGCAGGGCCTCCTTTCCCACCCCCTGCCAGGCCAGGGCTGCCTGGGCACGGGGACAGCAGCCCAGGAAGAAGCTCTGCCAGGTGTGAATGAAGCGGGCGGGGCAGGGCGTTTCACTCGGGTTCAGTAAAGTTCCACTGGAGGTTCGGTCCTCGCTCTGGGAAACCAGCAGCACATCCTGCAAACAGCGTGGCTTAAAATAGGCATCTCAGGTCTCTACTCGTGGGCCTGGAAGAGGCACCCGACTCCTTGGTTGGACCCAAGGCAGCCCCGGTGCCACCTCATGGACCCATTGTGTCACTCTGTGGCCTGGAGGACCCAATTTAGCCCTGAGCCAGAGCAAAAGGAAAGAGGGAGCAATTTGCAGAAGGTGGGGGCTTTGTGTCCGGGTGTGCCACTTCGGAAGGACTGATGGCATTAGGGATGACACAGATGGGCAGGAGCCAGATTGGGTGTCCTGGGAGTGGGCAGGGGCCTAACAGAGGCTCTGTGGCTGCCTGCTGTCCCTCCAGCCCCTGCAGGAGATGAGCCCTTTGCTCCCTTCAGTCCAGCCACGTGGGCCTTTTCTCAGCCCCACTTACTCTGCCCCTCTCACCACAGGGCCTTTGCACATGCTGTCCCTGCTCTTCATCTGCTGAACTCCCTTCTATCCAGGTCTCCCCTCCTCTGGACTACATCGAATCCCTGATGACCACCTACCTCTGCTCTCAAGACTGTCACGGTTACACTCTGACATTGCTGAGGAGTATTTATTCATGTCTGTCCTCGCCACTGGACTGGAAGCTCTGCCAGGGCAGAGGCTGGCAGGATTTCATTCGCCACAGTATCCTCAACATTTAGCTCAGAGTCTGACTGCCTGGGATGTTCGTCCTCCACATCTCTGCAGGGCTGGCTCCTTCCCAGAATTTCGGTCTCAGCTCTAAAGTCCTCTAGGATGCCCCACCCCTCCAGCCACTTACCGCTTATCACTCTCTGAAATCCGCTTTCTGGTCACAGATGAGCTTCTCATCTTCCTTCGCTATGTTGTGTAAGTTCCTCCACTATATTCCCAACACCAAGACACACCCTGAGGCTTCACTAAATACGGTATTTGTGGTCAGCCTGTCTCACAGCCTCCCCCAGCTCTTCTCAACCCACACTTCCCAAGTACTCATCCCTGCCTCGCCTTAGTGATGCGCCGGGGCGCCAGGCTGGGTTCCTGTCCTGGGAGGAGCAGACAGTCCCGTTCACTGGGGTCGGGTTCCATCAGGGCCAGCCGGAAACCTGGGTGGAGCCCACAAAACGACCCCTACCTCCTGTGATGTGGGCTTTGCCAGGAGGCCCAGCTGTCTGCCATGACCTTGATACCCAGTGTGCATCTCTGGACCAGCAGCATCACCGGTGAGCTTGTTGGAAATGCCGAGTCCCAGGCCCAACCCAGACCTGCTGAGGCAGCATCTGCATTCCAAAAATACTTGTCCCTCCCAGGTGACTCGTGTGCACGTTAAAGTCTGCGAAGCTCTAGGATGCTTGCAGCCTGTGATCCCACCACTGCTAAGGGACCGAATGTTGGTGTGCCTCCAAATTCATCTGTTGGAACCCAAGCCCCCAGTGTGATGGTATGTGGAGGTGGGGCCTCTGGGGGTGAGGAGGCCACAAGGGTGGGGCTCTCCTGTGGGATTAGTGCCCTTGTAAGAGGAGACAGGAGAGGGCTTGCTTCCTTTCTCTCTCCACCATGTGAGGACACGACAAGCAGGCGGCTGCCTGCAAACCCGGAAGAGAGCCGTCCTCAAGACTGATCTGGCCAGCTCCTTGATCTTGGACCCCTAGCTCTGGAAATGTGAGAAATCAATACCTGTTGTTTCGGTCCCCAGTCTGTGGTGTTGACGGCAGCCCCAGCTGACGGAGACAACCACTAATGAGCCAGTCTGGCCATCTGAAATGTAAACACCCTGGCAGAAGTGACACAGGGATGCAAATGACACTAAGGGAGGGGTCACTTGTCAGATCTTCCCGAGAGTGGGGTCCTGGGAGAGGAGGCAGACCCCTGACAGGGAGAGCAGGCCCCAGAGTTTTCCAGCCCGACAGGGCACACCTGAACCCACTGGAGTGACATCCCTCCAGGTCAGTCCTGCGCTGGAAGGCGGGGGTGAGGGGGACCCCAACATTGCACGGGTGGGTGCTGTGCAGCGGGGAGGGACGAGCCTGGGACTCGGAGGCAGACGAGTGGGTTCCTCTCAGCTGCCCTGTGACTTCCTAGCTTAATGGAGCTGCGCGAGCCCCTCAGCCTTTCCAAGCTCAGTTTCTCCATCTATGAAATGGGTTAATGATCTCCCCTCTCAAAGAGGTTGTTGGGAAAATTAAACATGAACACACAGAGAAAAAGGCCACCTCCCCAATAAAGCGCTGTGCAGTAGTATTTATTGTTACAGTGTTAAATTCACTTTTGGGAAGAGAGTCAGGGCCGTGACCAGCAACTGAAGGCCGGAACAGCATCTCTGCTCATGGACAACTTGTTTCCTTTGCAGCCACAAACTCCTCACCAGCCAACATGGGTAATAAAGTTAGCTTCGGAAGTCGCTTTGTCCCCCTGGGGTTTCTCTTCCCATCACTCAACTACCAGGAGCCTCGTGGAGCCTCGAAGAGTGGAGCAGAAGTGATGGTGCCCAGAACTTAAGGGTTTTGAGGGGCAGGGGGCAGGCTAAGCTTGGAGTGATAGAGGGTCTGGGGCCCCTGCAGAGAGCACTGAAGTCACATATCGCCAAAACTGCCTGTTGTGCTGGACGCAGCCCTGTTAGTGGCCTCAAGACTTGGGGTCATTGTTCTGCGGCTGCTCCATGCTGGCTCCCCTGGATTTCATCCGCTCCAGGTTCTCCTGTGGCTTCTCTCCGCCTCCTGCAGCCCGGGATCCATGACTGCGATACGGACAGACAGATTTCTAGGAGAAGGGCTCTGCTCAGCTAACAACCAAGGGGCCTTCAGAGGTGTCTGGGGTCAGAAAGCTGAGTCCACGGGGCCAGTGCCTTTTGATGGATCTGCTTCCAGCTTCTGGGAGGAATATGGGGTACCTCTGTCTACCTGCTTCTCCCCAACCTCCGGCATCAACCACCCCTATTCAAGGGGCCCCTGCAGGCACAGGTGACACCACCTTTCAGAGAAGCGCATTATATTGTTCCCAGGTCCAGACACCACCTCACCTAACTTCAAGGCTCAAGACCACCACTCAGGCTGTTTGGGTGGATGTGGCCGGTCACTGTTCTGTAGCGGCCGCTCTGCCAGCCTCTGTCCATCAGCTCCAGAGTCTCTCTGCCAAGTCTCTCTCCCTCTGCTCTTCTTGCCACTCCTGAGGCAGAGTTGACATTTAGGGTCTTCCCAGCAGACAAAGCCCACCCGATTTGACTCTGTGAGAAGGTTATTTACCAAGTGTGAAATGTATAAGAAACCTCAATGAAAACGGAGTCAGGACGGCCTGTAGGGGGAGCTCTGAAGCCTGTCAAACAACATCAATTTTACTGCAAATGGGAAGAGACCGTGGTTTACATCTCTCAGTGGAAGTACAACTACTTTACCACCGAAGGAAGAGTTCTCTCCCCACCTGGCAACACCCCAGCCAATGAGAAACGCCACAGCCCAGCCAATGAGAAACGCCACAGCCCAGCCAATGAGAAACGCCACAGCCCAGCCAATGAGAAACGCCACAGCCCAGCCAATGAGAAACACCACAGCCCAGCCAATGAGAAACAGCATGGCTCAGCCAATGAGAAATGCCAAAGCTCAGCCAATGAGAAACAGCATGGCTCAGCCAGTGAGAAATGCCACAGCCCAGCCAATGAGAAATGCTGTAACTCAGCCAATGAGAAATGCCGCAGCCCAGCCAATGAGAAGCGCTGCTGCCTTGAATTGTTCCTTTCCCCCCACGCACTTTCCTTTAGAACAGCCCCCCTCTTCCCCCTTTTCCCTATAAAAGCAGCCCCTTCCTTTGTCCGCCGGATTTGTCTATGGTTTGCCATAGCATGCACATCTTGAATTGTCATTCTTTTGGCTATTCCCAAATAAACTCATTTTGAGGGTAAAATAACAAGCAAATTTGCTGTTTCACTTGACGCAACCAACCTGTCCTCATGTCGAAAAGCCAGCCCCAAATGCTGGCCGGGCTGCCAGGGGCAGGGAGCACCGGGCAGGAGAGAAGGGGCTGGTAGGGCATCAGGTGGACCAAAAGGTGCATTCTGGTTGCCCACATTGCCCCCAGCCTGCTGGCCTAATGCTGCAAAGTTTTGGGCAATGCCATCTCTGCCAGTGACCCCTCAGTTGTCCACTTGCCCATTTGTCCCCAACGAGATTAAGTTGGGGAACAACACAAGCTTCATTTCTGGCAACTTTGGTGATGTTGGTTTCAAATAATCCGATCTGCATTCAGGCACCTTCTGCCGCTCTTGCTCACCCTGCGGGGATAACTGCCTGCCTGGCTTACTGCTCCCCAAGAGGCAGATACTGGGGTCCCAGGTCACCCAGCCTGGATGCTGGCTTCGGAGTGACGTGTGACATCAGGTTACAGGGAGGTTTCACTCCCTCCGGGCTTTGGGCTCCCTGTGTGTGGCTGAACGTCATAAAGATACCAGGGTTTGGAACCTCAGCAAAGCCAAGTCGATACTGGAGCTTCACCCCTCAGGCCCTGCCCCGGAATCAGAAATGAGTCTCTAGGAGGCCAAACATTCAGACAGAGGGGACCGTCCACCTGTCCACCCACGAGGCCTTCAGTTTCTGGTGGTAGGAAAGGCTGTGCTTATAATTAGAGAGAAAACCATAGTCTGCGGCATGAAGGGGAGTCACTCTCAAGTTCATCAGGCCTCGGTTTAGCTCACCCCGTGAGGTGAAACAATTCACTGGGCTGAAGAACATGTGCTTTGACGGTTCTCGCGGGCTGACACCCGTGTGAGTCTTGGAAATTCAAACCTCTCATCGATTCAGTGCCAACGGCTCGATGGAAGGGAGCATCGTGGTTCCAACAAATGATTCACTTTGATAACCGAAGTGTGCGTGGAACTCAGTGCTCTGGTCCTTTCCTAATCATCGCTTGGCACTGAGGTCAATGAACTCAAGCCTGAACGCTTGACTCAAGCTAGTTTTTAACAGTCGTGCCCATGGGATTTCTCTCTATCTCCTTTGGTCAAGCCCTGTTGGGGGCTCTAGAGTCTGAACATCAGCCATTCCTTGGCCTCCTTCAGCACACTGCTCTGACCAAGAAAGAGTTGGAAAGAACCAATTCCGTGTCAGTTCTGTGTTGCAAATGGGAAATTAGACACCCCCGCCCCACCCCATAACTTCCCACCCGTCTCCTGAGAGGCCACAAAGTGTGTTACAGACATTAGCAAATGTTAATCCTCACAACGTCCCTGGTGGGAACCAGAAGTGTTGTAGATGAAGACGTTGAGGCACAGAGAGGTGAGGCCACTGGGAAAGAGCCACACAGCAAAACAGTGGTCGAATCAAAAGAAGGGCATGGGGTTCTGTTCCCCACCTTAATGACTCTGCTCTGCCAGATTCATCTCAGTTAGGGCACTGGTGAGCACACTGATGTTTCAGGGGACAGGGACAGCACAGCAAAGGTTTGCTGGGTTAACAATGGCAAGCATTCCCTGCCCTCAGTCCCCAAACCATTGCCATACTTGGTATGTTTGTCACGGACCTAACTCCGTGGCAGGCTCTGCCTGCTTCTGGCACTGTCCCTTCTGGGCTCCACTGTGTCTGGTTGAGTCCCACCTGCTCCTCCTGGGTGGGTGTTTTGGGGAACTGTGGGCCTCTTCCACCTTGGCAGCTCAGGTCAAGGCTGCAGGGACCACTCGGCTGTCGATGGCTGACAGTCACTCTGAGGTGGAGCCTGGGTGACGGAGGAGCTGGGCACTGCGATGGGTGCTCCGGGCCAGGCTCCCCCCGCTGAGCAGGAAAGTCCACAGCCCGCCCGGGACAGGCAGGCTGCTGCCCCCTGGTTGCTGGGTGCTCCAGCGGAAACGGCAGCAGTCTGCTGGGACGTTGGCCGGCAGTGGAGGGCACCCTCAGCCCGAGGCCGCTACGTACACTTGCATGGCTCTGGCTACCCCTCCTCCCTGGCTCTCTCCACGGTGGGTCTGGTGGAGCATCAGTTCCTTACACGTTGGTGACTTCCAGGCCGTTGTAGCCCTCCAGACGGCACTGCTCTGGTCGGCCTTGGGAGTCATCATCTCCGCAATCTTCGTTTTGAAGAGAGCCATAGTCATCATGGAAATCAGGGTCTTTGCTGCTGAAGCCCCTTCCTATCTTCCCCAGGGGCAGCTGAGAAGAGAGGAATAAGACCAAAGAACAGGAAGGATAGAGAAAAGAACTGAATGTTTTTGCATCTGGGAAATGCAGGGTTTCCAATTCTAATTGCTGTGTGACTTTGAGTAACTTATCTAACCTCTCTGTGCTTCTCTTATTAGTAATAATACTCCACCGCACAGGATGACTGTGGATTTGGTGAGTTAACATTACGAGAAAGCCCTGTGTTCCCAATGGAAGGAACCAGCTGGTCACCAAGGATGAGGACAAGTACAGTTTTTCTGATGATCACAAAGGTCTCCCATCCTCCTCTGTGGGAGGAGAGTGGAGAACGGGTATAGTGGAGAAGAGGTGAAAATGTCTGAGCCTGGGCATGAGAGCTGACTGTATTCCCAAGTCAAGAGGAAACATTCTAGCACCAGTCGGTGTGGCAGAAAGACAGTGGGTTTTGGAGACTCACAAACCGAGGTTCTCTGCCACTTCCCAGCTGTGTGACCTCGAATAAGTCACCTGCCCTCTCTGAGCTTGAGTTTTCTCAGCTACAAAATGGAAGTAGTAATTCTTACCTCCCAGAGTTGTAGAGGGTAGAAATCCCCTCAGTAAAGCACGCAATGAGCGGCCGGCAGAGAGGAGCTATCATGGTCACCCAGTCAGCCCACGAGAAAAATGCCTCTTGCTGTGAACCCATCTCGATTGCAATAGCCATGATAGTGCAGTGTGATTATTTCTTTAGTTGCCTGCCTTTCTTTCCAGACCAGTGTTTCTCAACCTTTTTTTCATTATTGCCCCCTTAAAAAGGAGCCTGCTTAGACATTTTTTTCCCTAATCACACCCCCACCCTGAAATTTTCATACCTCAGATACGCTGTGCTTCTGTTTATGTGCCATATGTGTGTCTGTGCTTTATACTTAATAGAAGGGGTTTTGCCCCCGCCCCCAGAATCATCTTTCACTCCTTTTGCGGTGCTCTCACCCCAGGGAGGAGGCGCGTTCTGGCCCGAGAGCACCTTTCGGGTAAGGGGGAATTCATTCGTGCTTACTCCCCCACGCTCAGCATGGTGCCTGGAACGCAGTCGGTACCCAAACGTTTGCTGAACGGTTGGAAGGATGTTTGCACCTTCTAGTTCTGCCGTCCGTGTCTACACTCCTCCATCCCGGAATCCGTGTTGGTCTGAGCCTGTGATCAGACCCAACGGCCCGTGTTTGCAGACCCGGAGGCCCCCACCGCTGCTCACAGCGCTGCAGTCGCTGGAGTTCAAATCTAAGCCGCTGGGTCAGAGTTGGGCTGCGTGGGACCCTCCGGGCGGCCTGGCTGCGTGCAGGGACCCCTCGCCCCAGAGGCCCTTTGCTCCGGGCGGCCGGCTGGGTCCCGGGACCCGCAGGTTAGGGGGCCGCCCAGTGATTCGGGTGCAGGCGGTGGGGGGGGCCTCGCGCATCCTGCCGGCCCTTGAAGGCGGCTTCCGGGGCCTCTCTCCCAGCGGTCCCCGTGACCCGGCCCATCGGCGCCCCTCCACAGGCCAAGACAGGAGCTGGGAGACGGCACCGCGGGCCCAGACGACAAAAAGGCCCTTCCCGGGCTGCGCGACTCGCAGGGGAAGCCCCGGGCGACTCACCCGGCCGGCCTTGTACTTGATTCCTCCGCTGTTCTCCTCCTTCCCCGCCCGGGGGACGCTGGAGGCCCTCCCGGGGGGCGTCCCGAAACGCTCTGCCTCCCGGATGCCTGAGCAGCTGGGGAGAGACGCACTCGGAGTCAGCGAGGGGACAGTCTGCCGCCCGCACCCAGGGACATGCTCACTCACACACTCACACTGGTGACGATGACCAGAACTGCCCCGATCGACTGAGTGCCTCCTACGTGCCACCACTGTGCTAAGCACCTCATCAGTGCAGTCCTCACAAGTGCCTAGAGGTCGGGGTGCCACCCCCGTACTGCAGATGAGGTAGAGGGGCACAGAGAGGGTAAGCAATTTGCCCAGGTTCACACAGCTGGAAGTGGCAGAGCCAAGATCTGAACTCAAGTCTCTGAGACTCCAAAGTCTCGCTCTTGACCCAATTCATTCTATGAGGCCAGCATCACTCTGATACCAAAACCAGACGAAAACATCACAAGAAGAGAAAACTACAGACCAACATCCCTTATAAGTATAGATGCAAAAATCCTCAACAAAATAGTAGCGAATCTAATCCAGCAGCATATAAAAAGACTATACCCCACAACTAAGCGGAAAGCTAGGAATGCAAGGTTGGTTCAACATCTGAAAATCAATCAACATAATATGCCATATTAATAAAATAAAGGACAAATCTGGGCTCTGCCATTCACTCACCGTGTGACCTTGGGCTAGTACCTTGGCCCTTTGGACAAGTTTTTCCATCTGTAAAGGAGGGATGGCAAGACTGATTCTTCACATTGTCATGAGGGTGAAACTGCTGCACGTGACAGGCGCTCAATACTCCGCCGTGTGCCCTGACTGCACTCATCTGAAGGAGGGAATCCACAGGGAGGGGCCTGTCTATCTGTCCAGGTGTTTATTCTCCGGTCACTTTTCAGAGGAGGGGCCTGGGGTAGGGGGGCTGACATGGTCTGCTCACCTGGACCGTAAACACCATTAATATGCCCATCCCTGTCTCCAAACCTCTGTCCCCACAGCTAGCCTTCCCTGGAATGGTCACCTCAATCTCTCGGGCCAGCACAAACCCCGCCCTCACGTGGCCTCCCCTCACACACGCGATGCTCGCTCTCCCCTCTCAATGCCCAGGGGATTTGGGATTTAACAACATGCTTTCTTCTAGACCCCATTTCTTCTTTCTAGTCTGTGATATTGGGGCTAAAGCACTTTGCTTCTCTGAGCCTCAGTTTTCTGATCCATAAAAGGAGACCATCTTGTTGCAGGGGCCACATGGCACACGGTAAGTTCGGGGCCAGGGTGGGAAGTCAGGACCCCTGATCCAAAGCTGCGGGCTGCAGCCAGCGGCCCACACTCACCTGGCCGGGTGGAAGATGGCGCTCATCTCCTCTGCCAGGTGTCTCCGGAGGATGTGCCTCCCGCTGGGGATGCCCAGGGCGGTGGCCATGGCCTCGGCATTGAACGTGGGTTCCAGCACCAGCACGGCCCCGTGGACGCCGCTGTTGGTCAGGTTGTCGGCGTATTCCTGAGGGCGAGGCACGAGGCTGGTCAGCCTGAGGGGGCCGCCCTGCTGGCCGAGGGGGCCCCAGCTCCTGGTGGGGATACGCCCCCAGCAGCAAGGGCTTGACCCCCTGGGGAACCAGTTAATTTAATACTGATGGGGTACCCCACCCCCACTCTTTTAGGGCCCTGAGGGCCGTGCCCAAGACGATTTTGTCACTGTCATATCCCCAGACCTTGGCAGGCAGCCCACAGATACTTGTTGAAGGAGAAGATGGGTCTGGATTCAACCTCACACTTGCTTCAGAGAGCCAGGCCGGCTCAGCATCCCCCACGCCCACGAGGAGAAAAGCATCATTAGTCGGGTCCTTTGGTGGGGGAGGGGGAGCCGTTCCCTCCTCTTGAGTGACAGGAGGCGGGTTATTCTTGCCGGTCAGGGCAACGATGCCCCAGTTCACACAAAAAGGGATATTGATTTGCACACAAACGTGCATGGGATTTGCCTCTGCCCCAGAGTCACCCCCACCCCCGATACCCCCTCACCTTCAGGTCAATGTCTCGCACCCATTTGAGCACCCGCTGGTTGGTCCAGACCACGGGGTCTATGTTCTGCGTCTCGCAGCGGGCCCGGCGCTCCTGGAGGGCCTGGTGGGGAGGGAGAGAGTGGGTCAGCTGGGAGACGAGGGGGCACACCGAGGTCACACAGGGAGCGAGAGCCCACGGTGCTGGCAGGGACCTTAGCGTGCCGGTGCGAGGAGTCCTGGCCGGGCCAGCCATGGCTGCTCCAGCCACGTCAACCCATGACCGGGCCTTTCATTCTGGGGAACGAGGAGAAGCCCCCGCACAGGGGTGGAGGGAGACGGGAGGCAGCGATGCTTGCGTCTGGGAGCATGGGGCCCACAGCAGCTGCCGAGTCTGTATATCCTGGCCCCGCTCACCTGACATGGAGGAGGTGCTCAGTCCCTGTGTGTGGAGGGACGACCAATGACGAGGCCCTTGCAAGTGGGGCCAAGGATCCCGGGGGTCCACCCAGCCTCTGCGGCCAGCGAGTGTCACCCTGGTACCAAATCTCACCCCGGGTCAGCCTGGTGCCCTTTCACAAGCCTCCTTGGGGGCCTGGCTCCCAGACAAAGGGTCTGGGCCGTGGTGGGCAGATCCTTCTCCAGGCCTCCCAGCCTCCAGGTCCCTCCAGTGTGCCCTGACCAGCTCCCACCCCACTGTGCCCATTTCCACTCTTTACTCTCATGCTCTTCCCGCACGTCTGCCTCCTGGACCAGGTGAGGGCCTGTGTCCTTCTCGCTTCCTGCGCCCAGGGCCCTGCACTGGGTGTTTGAGAAGGCCATGAAGCCCCCTCCTCTGTCCCCTCCTCCCGACCTGGAACTGCTTGTGCTCTGACATCACTCTAAGAAAAGGAAGCCATCTGGACTCAGCCTCCCGGGGCCCAGCAGCTCAGGGCGCCTCCCTCGGGGGATATCTGCAGAGACGCTCTGGGCAGGTTCTGGGGGAGCTGAAGCAGAACCCCCCTGCTCTCTGCTTGGCCGAGCTCAGAATCCAGGGGGCCATTCAGAGTCCAAACTCTTCAACACGCCCCGCAGTCCCGTTACCTATCCAGCATGCCCGTCCACTCCCCCCTCAAACCCAACACCAGAACCACACCGGATCTTAGTTCTTCTGCCACCACAGGTCTGTCCTCTGGGCCTTTGCCTCTGCTGTTCCCTCTGCTGGGTTGCTGTTCCCCTCCCGCCTTCTACTGATTGATCCCTGGAACTCCTCCTTCAGAGCTCAGTCTAGCTGTCACTATCTCTGAGAAGCCCTCCCTGATCCCCCTGGGAGCTTCTCCTCTGGGCTTTCATAAAGCCCTGGGCTTCTCTCATTGGGCCTCTTTTTCCATGGTTTTGTGGCCACCAGCTTCTCTGAGTTCTCCCAAGCAGCAGGCTCTTGGAAAATGAGGTTCCGCATTTCCCCTGAATCGAGCACAGGGCTTGGCCCATGCCCGATGAGCAGGTGTTGGCAGGAGGGAGGAGGGATGCACGAATGCATGGATGGATGGGCAGGCGGCGCATGGGGGGATGGACAGGTGCCGGATACCAGAGGGGGAAGGAGGGCTGTGGACGGCGCCCCCACCCCCGTGCCCCAGTGCTCACCTCCCTGCTGAAGTTCACTTGGTACAGCAGCTCGATCCCCAGCAGGATGCTGACCTGGTGGAACTTCTTGGACACATTCAGGTGCTTCTCCAGGTCCCGCTTCATCAGGGAGTTCAGCATCCGCCCATCAACGAGGTGGTTCTGGAAGGCCTGGGAGTACTGGGACAGGCCGATGTCATTCAGCCAGGCCTTGGCCACCCAGTGATGGTCCAGGTCGGCGGCTTTGGACAGGCTGGTGAGGAGAGACATGGCCAGCGAGAGGGATGGGTGGGGAAAGGTGGCAGAAACAGAGGGACAGGCAGAAAGGAGGGAGAGAGGGGCGGAGATGAAGAGAGAGGGAAAACAGCAGGGTGGGGGAGGGGGACCAGAAAGCCATAGAGGTAGAAAGAACAGGGATGGAGGCAGAGACAGAAGGGAAGAAACAGAGGGCAGAGATGGGGAGAGAGGTGGACGGAGGGGAGAGAGAGAGAAAGAGAGGGAGAGAAAAGGAGAGAGACAGAGAGAGACAGAAATAGAGAGAGAGAGAAGCCCAAAGAACAGAAATGAATCAACAGAGAGAGGCCAAGGGAACAGGAAGACAAGACATACGGAGAGTGAAAAGGGGCAGTGACAGAGCAGCAGGGACATCTGCAGCAGGAAGCAGCCCCCCGGGGACCCCGGAACCCCCAGCCTGCCTGGGGCCTCTACAGAATCCCTGAGGCCCACGAAGCCTTGGCCTGGCCCGTCACTCCTTGCACTTTGCCCAGTTGCACAGTGACACGCGTTGGACTCAGAATTCAATCCCACCTTTTGCTTATTCGAAGTCCTCTCTCCTCACAGCCATATCTCACATTTCTCTGTATCCCACACAGAACCCATCCCAATGCCTCGCACACAGTAGGTGCACAACAAATACTTCTCAAACGGATGGAAGGGTGGGTGCTCCTTGCAGGGGTTGAGGTGGGGAGTGGTCCCCTGGCTGTCATTCCCCTGCCCACCACACGGTGGCAGCCTCGCAGAAGGAATGAGGACAGCGCCTCCCACCTGCGGAGGGACTTGGAGAGATGACGGACGCTGCAGGTAGGAGCGCTGCCTTGTCTAAGTGGGAGCCCCAGGGGACCATGAAGGGATCATGATGGACTTACACACTCACGCCGCCCTCCTTCCCCGGCCGGAGATGGGGCCAGCATCCTTCTCTCCCCACCAGGTAGAAGGAACACCCGTTCTCAGCCGGGGGGTCGGCGTGGGTGGGGGGAGTGCAGGCTGTGAGGAACCGGCGGGAGGCCCCCTCCCTGTGCACCCATCTCTGGGGAGCCGCCCTATCCGCCACCCAGCTGGAGATCTTGGTGGGCTTTCCGACCCCGCCTGACTCGGCTTCCTCCTTCCTACTCCCCACTGTTCACTCCAGGCACCATCATCTCCCCCCTGGACTTCGCCCTCTATGCGCCTCCCTGCCCCTGGGCCCTCCAGCCCCTTCCCCAGGACAGAGCTAACGGATAGCCCCCCTCGTGCTGGTGGTCCTGGATGGCTCCTTGCTGTCCGTCCTTCCTTCCCTCATCCCGTGAGCATGTACTGAGCAGTTCCTGAGCGCCTTGCTCGGGGTAGATGCCGCCATATAATGGGCCCATCTTCCCTCCTAACCCCTTCCCTTCTTTCTCCACCCTCACGGTCTCCCATCTCTGGGTGACACCCACTTCCAGGGCCCTGGATTACATCTGTAAACGAGGACTCCCAAATTCGCTTCTCTCCTCTCTTCTGAGTCCCAGATTCTAACAAACTGCCTTCTTGACATCCCCTCCTGGCTGTCACAGGCATTTCACATTTAATGGGCTGCAAATGAAATGCCCCGTCCCCTCTCCCCACTCTCCCCCACCCCCACCTCCATCCTGCTCCCACGTCCTCCCTTGCCCTGCCTCTCCCCTCCCCCACCCCCTCCATCCAGCAATCACTCTGGTCAGCGTGTGTGTCCTCTTCTCTCCTTTTCTGGGTTGAAGCCACGACCACCTCTGGCATAGATTTCTGTAATGGCCTCCGGACTGCCCCCCACCCCACCCCCACCCCTTCTAATCCACTTTCCCCGTGGCTGCCAGATGGCCTTTTAAAAACATCAATTGGATCATGTCACTCCTCTGCGGAAAACCCTCCCGCGGAGGAACCATAAATGCATATTACTAAGTGAAAAAAGCCAACCTAAAAAGGCTACATACTGTGTGATTCCAACTATATGACATCTTGGAAAAGGCAAAATGCTGGAGACAGTAAGAAGATGAGCGGTTGCAGGGCCCAGGGAGAGGGAGGATGGACGGTGGAGCACAGGGTCTCCGGGGCAGGGAGACCATTCAGTACGAGCCAGTAATGATGGAGGTGCTTCATCCTACATTTGTGCAAACCCACAGAACGTACAAGACCAAGGGGGAAGCCTGATACCCCTGTGGACTTTGAGTGAGGACAATGTGTCAATGCAGGTTCTCAGTTGTAGCAAATGTCCCATCTGGTGGGGGGCGAGGATAATGAGGGAGGCTGCGCATCTGTGGGGCAGGGGGTACATGGGAAATCTCTGCACCTTCCCCTCAATTTTGCCGTGAAACTAAAACTGCTCTAAAAAAATTGTTTTAAAAGAGTGAGGGAGGGAACAAAGACTTTTTCAACAAGCAAAACTGAGAGAATTTATCACCAGAGGAATGAACTAGAAGAAATGTTAAAGGAATTTCTTCAAGAGGAAAGAAAATAATAATCACATGGAAATTCGGACTACACAAAAGAATAAAGATGAGAATTCTTCAAACTCAACAACAACCACCACCAAAAACCCAGTGCAGAAATGGGCAAAGGACTTGAATAGACATTTCTCCAAAGAAGATATAAGAATGGCTGATAAGCACACGAGAAGATGTTCAACGTCACTAATAATTAGGGAAATGCAAGTTAAAACTACAATAAGATAGCACTTCAGAGCCATTAGGATGGCTGCTATAAAAAAAGAAAAAAGAACACAGCAAGTGTTGGCAAGGACGTGGAGAAGCTGGAACGCATGCACTGTTGGGGAGAATGTAAAATGGTGCAGCCACTACGGTAGACAGTATGGCGGTTCCTCAGAAAATTAAAAAATGGATTACCACAGGAGCCAGCAATTCCATTTTGGGGTATATGTCCAAAAGAATTGAAAACAGCATCTTGAAGAGATATTCGTACACCCACATTCATAGCAGCATTATTCACAATAGCTAAAATGGAGAAGCAACCCAAGTGTCCGTCGATGGAGGAAGGATGCCAACAAGATGCGCTTGACACGTACAATGGAATACTATTCAGCCTTCAAAAGGAGGGAAATTCTGCAATATGCTCAACACACATGAAACTTGAGGACATTATGCTAAGTGAAATAAGCCAGTCACGAAAAGACAAATACGGTATGATTCCACTTATCTGAGGTACCTAGAGCAGCCAAATTCAGAGACAGACAGAAAGTAGAATGGTGGCTACAGTTGCACTGGGGGGAGGGGAAGAAGGAGGAATTATTGTTTAATGAGTGCAGAGTGTCCATTCTACCAGACGAAAAGAGTCACGGGGGCAGATGGGGGGGGCACGGCGGCACCACCACGTGAATGTGATTAATACCCCGAACTGTACACTTAAAAATGCCTAACATGGGACACTTGATGTTACGTGTCTTTCACCACAATAAAACAATTTTTTTTTAAAGACTAAAGATGGTTGGAAATTGTAAATATCCGGGTAAATATTTTTCTCATTTGCTAATCTCTTTAAAAGATAATAGACAAAAATGTAAAAGGAAAATAATAACAATGTATTCTGGAGTGTATAATATATAGAGATAAAAACGTACGAAAATGACAGCATAAAGCCAGGAGAAAAAAGCATCTGACACTATATACAAAGTTGCATAATACTATTTGAAGATAGTGGTATGTATATTGTACCATAAAGCAACGATTAAAAATAAAACAAAGACACATAGCTCAGAGCCAGTAGTGGGAACATTCAACTAATAAAAGCCAGTCAGTGCAAGAGGGAAAAAAGGAACAAAGAGTGGATTTAAATAAAATAAACCAAGAAAACTTTTCCGTGGCTTCCCTTCGAGGGAATAAAATCGGAAGTCGTTGGAGGGGCCTAACAAGGTTGGGGCTCCCCTCCCCTACCCGGCTCAGGCTGGGGGGCGCTTCCAGGATGCACTGAGCCTTTTGTCCCTCGGGGTGGGGCTCCCCTGTCCCTCTGCGTCCGCTGTCTTCCAGCCCTGCCCAAGCCCCCAGGCCTCAGCTCCCGCCTGCAGAGTTCTGCTCTGCCTACTGTCCGCTGTCGCAGTTGCTCCCCAGCTGCTACTCTGCCCCCAAGTGTTTCCTTCAAAGCACGAATGACACATGGAACTGAAAATTCACTCCTCTAGGGGCAGGGACGCTGTTCTGTAGGCTCTGAGTCAGCCCATCGCTGGATGCATCATAGACTTTGTGGAAAGAGGAAGGGAAGGAAAGATGGGCTCCCAGCTCCGCCCCCCTCCTCCTGCCCCTCAGCCACCTGGAACCACAGGGGTCTGCCCCCACGGGCCGGGGTCTCCTGGTCTCCGGTCCTCTTCACCTGCTTGGCTCCTACAGGACTCTGCTGAGATGTCCTCTCCCTGAAGCCTTCCAGGCCCCTCGTGCTGAGTTAGAGCCCCCACCATGCCCGGTGCCTCCAGGGAGCCCCCATCCCTGCCCTTGTCACCCTGGACATGTGCTGCTCATGCGGCCAGCCGCCCACTGTCAGCTGCTGGAGGGCAGGACTGGGTGTGGCCTCTCTACGAACACCCAGGCTCCCACCTGGCTCAGAGGTAATGTTCAGGCTCCTGTTTGATAACCCAACGCAGGGGACCCAGAGCGAGGCTGGAGAGCGGGGCATTGGCTCCAGCCCACCCGGAGGCTGCCCAGCACAGAGCTCCCAAAATGGAATCTTCTAGCCCAAGACAAGCTCCCCTCTAGGATGAATGGTCCCAGGACAGACCCCCTCCCAGCCCTCCAGGGCCGGCTCCAGCCTTGTCACTTCAGATGGGCCCTGCCCAGGCCCGGTGCTCAGTGGCCTCCCACTGGGGCAGGAGGTGGAGCTCATGGCCGTCTGCCTCAGATGCCACTGGGCCAAGGTCGCCACGCATGGAGACCAGGACTGCCTCCTCTTCTGTCCAAAGGAAGGGTTTGCTCAGCAAATCAATGCGCAACAAGACATGGGGTGGGAGGTGGGGGCTGCCTTGCCTAACCCGCTTGAGAGAGGCCCATCGTCATCAGCAGAATCCATCTGTGGGCCAATAATTAATGCACTCCTGCCCTTCGAAACGCTTCTCTTTTCATTAAAGCTGTCCCCACAGGGCCTCCGCTTGGCAACGCTTCCCCAGCTGTTGGTTTGAGCCGTTCTAAGCCCCCAAGTCAAATAAAACGGCATGACTTTAAAAGTAATTCAGACGTTTTATAAAATTGACGCTGCTCCCTCCCCAAACTGCTGCTAGATTAGACCCTAAAATCTGAGTTTGGGCACAGAATCTAGATATCATCTGGGTTATTATTCAACACAGAAAACACAAGGCTGTTCTGGCTCCATCACCCTTAACTTTGAGACCTTGTACCTCTGTGCCTCAGTTTCCTCATCTGTAAAATGACGATAATCATGCTTGCCTCTTGGATTGCGAGGACCAGGAGAGATAAGAGAAGGTAAAACCTACTCAGCGCTCCATCAGTAATAGTAGGAGGAGCCGTCGTCGTCGTTTTAACACAAAGGTGATGTGGGATAGTGGAAAGGGAATTGATTTTGAAGTCAGAAGTTTTTAGTGTGACTTTGCGGCCATTATTTCTCTGGGCCTCACTTTCTCCATCTTTCAAATGGGTGTAAGAGGGTCCATCCCCCACTGATGTTGTGATGGTTAAATAAAATCATGTCCATAAAGTGACAGGTGATGGGTTGGCAGGGGTTGGTGGGTTTTGTTTTCAGTATTTTAGAGATAAGGGAACCAGGCCCAGAGAGGGCTGTGTCAGGCCTAAGGTCACACAGGATGTCACAGGTGGAAATCTTCTTTAAGATTATTTCACTGGGGTTCCTACCTGGGCATCCATGGACCCCTAAAAGTTCCATGGGTGGGTCAGAAAGTCCCAGAATGCAAAGTTGTGAAGTTTTGTAGATTTCTTCTGGGAAAAGTGTCAGAAGTTTTTATTAGATTCTCAAAGGGGCCATCATCCCCAAAAGTTAAGGAACCACTGTCCTAATTTCACCTCTTTACCTTCACAGGTGGATAAACTGAGTCCCAGAGAGGGCAAGGTCACATGGCAAGTTGGAGACAGGCCAGATTTGCACAGGGAATGGATCCTCAAATTCAGGGCCCTCTCTTCTCCAGGAAGCCCTGGGGCGTCTAATGCTGGGGCCCTGTGATCCTTGCAAACAGTCCTGCTTCCAGCTCCCATAACTTTTCAAAATCTGTTCACATCTGGCTGCTGAGCTGAACCCACCCCTTTCTGGCAGCATAGCATCTTGGCTCCTGGAGGTTTTGGGGTCAGCTGAGTTTTGGGGAACTTGGGTGGCGAGCCCATAGTTTGGGAAGCAAAGAGGGCAGCCCAACCCTGCCCAGTGAACACAGGCAGCACTTACTGACTGAGCTGGGAGTGGGACCAGGGGCTGGAGGGGTTTCCAGCTGGGGTGACCGAGGACAGCGAGCGCTTTGAGTGTGGGGTGCTTGCGGGGCCCCCAGGAGGGGAGCTGAGCCGGGTGCTGTTCTCCTCCCCCTGCCCCCATCCTCCGTCTCTCAGCCCCAGCCTGTCGTCTTCTTGCTTTGAGCTGCTACCTGAGTTTCTGATCAATCCATCTCATTATTTCCTGCCGCCTGGGACTGAGGCCAAGGGCCCTCTCCGGGACAAACAGGGATTTGGTTCCTGTTTCCAAACCAGCCTGATTTCCCACCCCCAGCTCCCTCTTTTTTTAATCCACAAAGCTGCTTCTGCAAATAATAGCACACACCACCAGGTTTGATTAATTAACTGCACAAAAATGATGGGGAAACCAGTGAAGGAGATAATTATGCAAAACAAAAAGTGTCAGATTTACCAGCTAGTTCTTTCTCCCCCCTCCACTTTCTGAGAACTTGCAAGGGGTCCTTCCCTTTTCCCTGGAGCTGCTTGGTGAAGGAGGGGGCCACTAAAAATCCTGCTCACAGAAGGTCAGGGGAGAGGCAGTCGTGGGGTGGGGGAGGGGATGAACAATGGGGGCAGGAGGCCTCTCGGGGGACACACCCCATGGGAGGAACCTTGGGCTATTCCCCCCCTGTACTCATTAAAAGAGGCCCCTCCCACGGCCCCACCCTCTGGGGGAGAGACTGCAATAAGCCGGTGCGTGCCCATTTCTGCTTCCCTGTCTGATTCTGCTTCTGCCTGCCTTCTGCCATCCTCTCTCACCCTGGAGTGGTAAGAGCTGAGGTTTGAGGTGGATGTAGGCCAAATTTTCACCAAATTTCCAGATCTGCTGGGGCTGGCCCTCTGAGGTAGAAGAGATCTGGGGGTGGGTGAGGCCCCCCACACCACACTGGGGGGGTCCTAGTGCACTTGGGGCCTCACTTAGTCCCAGTGTCTCCATCTCCCCATGGGGAGGGCTGGCCCAGAGAGGGACTGAGATGTGTCTGAGCCTCCTGGCCGCTGGCATTCTGGGACCATGTCGGTCACACCCCATCCTCCCTCACACCTGGCCCAGCCCAAGCGCCCCTTCCCCCCAGCTGTGTGATCTGGGGCTCTCGGGGTAGACTTTTCTCCCTTCTTCCCAGGGGCTGGGCCCAGGCGGGGTGCCCTGGAGCGCTGGCTCACCTCCTGCCCGCCTCGGCGTCGCGATAGTCCTCGATGGCCAGCCGCAGCTTGCGCCGGTGCAGGGAGCTGCACACGCCGAGGCCCAGCTCCAGGTCCTCGTCACTCAGACTCAGCAGCACCTGCTCCGGGTGGGGGGGGGGTGGGGACTGAGCGCCCAGAAGGGAGGGTGGAGGAGGGCTCCCGAGGCCTCCCAGGACCTGCGCTGGCCAGAACCCAGCCCCAGAGGCGTCTGCTGGCCGGGCTGCCTCTCCCCAACCCCCTGTCCATCCTCCCTTGCCATCAGGCAGAGCTCTTGTGCAGCCCATCTCAGGGCGGCTGCTCCATGAGGCGGGTGAGCTGGCCCTCCAGCCCTCTGGTCTCATCCCCTTCGGCCACGTAAAGGAAGGTTAGTCCCATTTTGAAGATGCGGAAGCTGAGGTTCAGAAGGGCTATGTGCCTTGCTGGGGACACAGTTATTTATTGGGGACTGGAGCCCAAACCCAGGTCAGCTGGCTCCTAGATGACATCTCCTCCTAACTGGGGGGTGGGAGTTGGGGGGCAGGCCAGCTCCGGGTTAGCGAAGTTCATGGTGGGGGGGCGAGGGGGCATTCCCACAGGGGTCCTGGAGGCGCCCTACCTTCCCACTCTTCACGTTCTCCGCACAGGCCTTGACGTACATGGGCATGGCCATGACCACCTCCAGCCAGGCCTGGACGGCGCCCGCCTTCCAGTGGGACATGGGGGTGGTCCTGACCAGCTCCACCTGCTGCAGCCGGTCCGTCTGCTCCTCGCCCTCCGACAGGCTGAGGCTCTGCCGTGTGGGGCTGCACTGGCTGTCTGAGTCTGCAACACACAAGCACGGACGCTGCATTGGGGGGCTGCACCCCGAGTCTGCACTCCCGGGGTGCCAGGGAGGCAGGGATGTTCTCCCCCCTTGCATTTCTTCATGTCAAAATCAAAGTGGCTTTTGTTTTGCTTTGCCGCCCCTCCCCCATTACAAAAGCAATCTAGTGAAAAAAAGAATTTGAAAAACTTAATCCAGAAAAGAATACAAATAAAATAGGAAGTGAAAATCACCTCAAATCCCACGCCACCCAGAGACAGCAGCTGCCAGTACTTAGTTAAATATTCCTTGGGAAACACAAATGCCCACGCTTCCAAACACACAGACCCACGCGCTTACACCACGCGTTCGTTTGTAAGATGCTTTCCTCGTCTTCGCTCTGGAGGGCAGGCTTGCATCTCAGCAGAGCTCTGCAACATCTATTGACTACACAGGACTCACGGAGTGGATGCTCCGTCATTTATTGCACCCGCCTCCTGCTGATGGGCAAGGGTTGTTCCCATTTTTCACTACTGTAAACAACACAGCAACAGTTGTCTTTGGGCAACTGGCTAAGCTATTTTCCTATGACAAATGGAGCCTCAGGTCCATCCCCTAACACCCCAAAGCCCATTCCTGGAGCGCCCCTCACAGAAAAAGAGTTCATCCACCTGCATTTTCCAAACCCATTCTTCAGTCAGTGGTTGTTCAGCTCCATTAACACCCGATAAACATGCCGAGTTCAAGGTACACAGACTCGACCAGGAGGCAAAATGAATCTGGATCTAAAGCGGGGTTACATAAAGACCCAAGCGGACAAACTCAATACCATGAGAAACGACAAGTATTAAAAATTAAGCCTGATTAGAAATGACCCTACTGATATTGTATATTACAAATCATCACAACAACATAAAAACTGCTTATCCATCAAATCGAGCACGTTCTGTGTATGAGGTATGCGTGGATGTTAACAGTGTCTGAGTTTGGGCGACGGGAAAAATATGTTATTTTCCTCTTGCTATACTTTGTGCATCATCCAAGTTCCATAGTAAACACGCAGACATTTACAGTGAAAAGAAAAGGAAAATTTGAGAAACAGGAAGCAGTGTAAATGGTTATCACCGGGAGTTTATCCGAATGGATGATGCTCCATTCATATGTTGGAATATATGTGATTAATAAGAAATCTGTCACTGGAGAATTTTTTTTAAGGTTTTTTTTAGTTTGTCCCTGAGCTAACATCCGTTGCCAATCTTCCTCTTTTTTTTTCTTTTTTCTTCTCCCCAAAGCCCCAGTTTAGAGTTGTATATCCTAGTTGTAAGTCGTTCTAGTTGTCCTATGTGGGACACCGCCTCAGCGTGGCTTGATGAATGGTGCTAGGCCCGAGCCCAGGATCTGAACTGCCGAACCCCGGGCCACCAAAGCAGAGCGAGTGAACTTAACCACTCAGCCACGGGGCCGGACCCTGGAGAATATTTTTGATACCAGAAAATGTTCACAATCTATTGCCAAGTGGAAAAGGACAGGACGGGACAGCAGGTACAATGCAATCCCAACTGTATTTTTAAAATTACATACCTAGTAATATATATATATAGTTATAATTGTGTATATATGTGTATACATACATCTATATATACATAAAATACTAGATGGAAACATGTTAAAAGTCTTTATCTCTGGAAACGGGTGATGGGTAATTGTGCGGTGAGTGTGTGTGTGTGAATGTGCACATGTCAGTGTTTGAGAGCATTTGTGAGTGTTTGCATACTTTTCTGTGTCCCAAGTTTTCTGTATTGACTATATTATTTTTGAAACTGAAAGAAAAGACCCCACGGCCTAGAAATCTTACTTTTTCCAGTACGAAGCCCCTTCCCCCATCCCTCCACCTCCCGCCCCTTAAACTCCTGCACACTCTTAGGAAACAGCTGCAGGTGACCTCACGTCCTCCTCCACCCCAGCTCGGCTGAAGCCTTTCTCCCTGACGACGCCTGAGGGCCTGCATCCACCCAGCCAAGAGCCCTTCGGAGGCTACAGTCCCCGGGCCTGGAAGACGCCACCCCGGTCCAGCAGGAGCCGGGCAGAGTGACCTAACTCCGAGTGGGCAGAGACGATGCCTCGTGCCTCAGTTTCCACCTCTGCAAAGTTGGCACAATGCTGTTCCCTGCTGTCCGCCTCCTCCTCTGGGCTGCTCCGGGGTGTCAGTGATGGTGAGCGTCACCGAGTGACAGAGGGTATGACAGGGCTGCTCTGTGCCAGGACGGGTAGGGGTTGAGAGCTCACTGACACAGCCTTCCATCTCCCGTCTCAGGCGGCGGGAAGCCTCTTTCCCCCAGGGAAGCGGCCGAGGGCACAGCTCCGTGCAGGTCGCGGTCTGAGCACGCACGTGTTGCCGTGGCTCTGAAAACAGCAGCAGCTGCCCTTGCAGCCCCGCCGGGGGCTCCGGGATCCCCCAGGGGAGACAGCTGCCAGGCTGGGGGACACAGGCCCAGCCCAGGTGCCCTTCCTGGCTGGCAGAGAAGTCTTTCTGATGGGGTCCTACCGGGGTTGGCCGCTGGCCCCCAGGCAGGGTGTGCCCTCCAGTTGGAGAGCTGACAGCCTCCGCATTGTTCTTGTAGCTGAGCCCCGTCTCTGTGACGTCCCTCTGGGAAGATGAGAGACGACGTGTGGCTGCATCTGGTTACTCAAAATTCCAGGATGCAGCCCTGGTTGTCCGTTTGGACCAGGCCTGTGGAGTTGAATAGACCTTGACTTTGGGCAAATTTCCTAACTCTTGAAGCCTCAGTTTCCCCATCTATAAAATGGGTATAATAGTAATACTATCTGCCTCCTAGGTTAATATGACTGTGATAAATTCTGAATGTGAAGCTACAGGAGGCACCAGTCAAGGGTGGCTGTTCCCGATCATAAAGGGCGCCTCCCCTGGGCTCGGGCACTTTCCAGCTGCACCGAGAATTCAGCGGTAGTTGCCTCAGTCCCCTGCATTCCCGGGATGAAACGTGGCTTGAATTCAGCTCAGGTGCTTAGGGAGGGAGCCTAGTCCCTTTTGGTGTCAAGCACACCTGGGCAGAAATCCATCGTCCCAGCTAGACTCCACCTGGTCCAGGTGGGCGGGGTGGGGCCGCCTGGGGGGGCGGATCTGTCTGTTCTGTGCCAAGGTGCACTGCGGGGCGGGGGGAGGGGTGTTGGCACTGCTTGGCCATGTTGCCCCAAGTAAGGGAGATAAAGGGGCAGGGGAAGGGAGAGACGGGAGAAGACGGCAGCAGGAATCAGAGAGAGAGAGAGAGGAGGGAAGAGAGACTCAAAGAGCAAGGCTTCAGGGGAGAAATATGCCACAGAAACAACAAAGCAAAAAGATAAACAGCAAGAAGGAGCGAACGAGTGGAGGGTGGGGAGGAGAGAATGACAGACAGACAAAGAAAAAAGCAAACTTCCTGTGTGTGTGTGTGTGTGTGTGTGTGGGCAGGCATGCGTGTGCATGTGTGTATGTGCATGCACGTGTGTGCATGTGCATGTGTGCACGCATGAGCGTGTGTTTTCCTGAGTGTGGTGTGTCTTTGTGAGTGTGTGCGGGTTGTTCTGTAGCCAACAGGCCTGAGGCCTGGGAGAGGAGCTGGCTTTTCAGTTCACAGTACTCATGGAGTCCAGGCTCGAGGCACGCCAGAGGCCAGGCTGAGTTCAGACGGGCAAACCACACATTTTGGTTTCTGAGAACAAACAGCTACACCCCACGGCCCAGGACTGAGCTCCAAGGAGATGATGCTGCAGGAGGCCTGGGGAGCGGGGGAGTCTCTGGGGTCATAAACCATTAATTAAAGGCAGTTTCCCCATGCAGGCCTCACGGTGCCAGAGTTTATGTCTGGGATTCCATCACTCCTGGCTTTTATTTCCCCCGTCTCGGCCCTGAGAGTGCGAATAACTCACATTTATAGCCAGGCAGCTCAGCAGAGGCTGCGGAGTTAGAGCGGCCGCCGGGGCCCCCGGCAGAGTCTGAGGAGTGCTAGCCAATATGGATCCTTCCGAACCCAGGGAGGCCCTTGGTGACTTTGGAAGGAGAAGTCCGGCATCCCCTCGCCGCGCCCCGCGTACACTGGCATGCACCACCAAATGTCGGGAATTCCTTATGGAGGTTTCCCCGAGCCATGGTACCTCACACGGGGGCTTCGCAACCCAAATCCAGCTTCTACCTGTTTTTCTAAATAAAATTTTATGGGGACACAGCCTTGCTCATTTGTTTATACAAGCCTGCTTTCCTGCAGAGTTGAGTAGTTGTGACAGATTGCCTGGTTTGTCCAAAACGCCTAAAATCTTCACCCGCTGGCTTGTCACAGAAAATCCTTTACAGAAACCCTGAGGTTCCAGGTTGGCACTGGATGTGAGAGCCCCGGGTGTGAATTCCAGCTCCGCTGCTCACCAGCCAGATGGTCTTTTTGGGGAGTGTTGTAACTTTCCTCGGCCTCACCTTCCCCATCTGTGAAATGGCGTGATAATAATGCTGAAGGCACACGTCTGTGTGAGGACCAAAGGAGAGGACGTACGGCGTTCACAGAGCGCTCGGCCTGGGGTCTGGCATACAGCGGGCGCTCGATGACTGCACGGGGCCCTCGTCCTCTGCAGGCTCATGTCGTTTCCAGTCTAGACCTGCTCAGTCCAGTGCAGTAGCTACAAGCCACAGATGCCTGTGAGCCCTCGTGGTGTGGCCAGTCTGCGTTGAGAGGCACCGGAAGTATACGACACACACTGGATTTTGAAGACTTTGTCCAAAGAAAAAGTAAACTAGCTCATTAATAATATTTATATTGATCACATACTGACATAATATTTTGGGTCTATTGGGTTAGATAAAATATATCATTAGAAGTCATTTCATCTCTTTCTTTTCACTTTTTTATTTTTGAGGAAGATTAGCCCCGAGCTAACATCTGCTGCCAATCCTCTTTTTGCTGAGGAAGACCAGCCCTGAGCTAACCTCCGTGCCCATCTTCCTCTACTTTATATGTGGGACGCCTGCCACAGC